AGACAATTTGGCCTGGTTCTCGCTTGTATCTGTGGCACTGCAGGAGGGCTGATAGACTCGCTCTGATTTGTCTGATTGTTTGTAAATGACGAATGTAATTTACTAAAGTGAAATGAAGCAGGGTTTCTGAAAAACAATCTTTTAAGAAGTGAATAACGATTGAAGTAAATGTATACACATATCAGTAGCAAGGTAAAGCCATGTAGAAGGGAACGTTAGGTTTTTTTTCGCGCCAATTGAAGCATATTGCAATTGAAGCAATTGTACGTGGGCCAGGCCCGTAGCCAGGGGGGGTTCGGGGGGTTCGAACGAACCCCCCCCGAGCCCCTCCCCCCCAAGCAAAAACACCTTAGCCGCCAGCGATTGGGCGCAGCTGCCTTCTTGCCTAGTAGCATCCGAAAGATCATTTCGCATGTATATTTGAGGAATTTCTGTGATTTGATCGCATTCTGGCGAGCCGATTGTCAAAAATGGCAGGTGTAGCTTGTTCAGCAGTCTTCCGCGTTTAGTTGGAAAGTGGCGTCACCTGCAGGAACACCGAAGTTGTAACTGATCGAAAACGGTGAGTTGTGGAAACTGCGGCGGCGAGTTAGGCACCATGTTGTTATGTAACATGTGTTTTGCACGTGTTACATGAATTAGTCAGTGGAGCTAGACTAGTAGTTGTTTTAGTCATAGTCTAGCTAGACAGAGCGTCGCGCATCTTGTGCGGCTAGATTGATGTTATAGAGAGAATAGTAAACGTGTTTTAGGTCGGCCATTTCTAGGGTCATTGTGAAATGGGGGGTAGGACGCGGTCTGGGAGAATGGGTACATGTGCGCAGGCTTTCATTTTTAAATGCCGTTGGGGAGTTTTCCCAAACGGGGCGCGCGCGCCCCGTTTGCGCAACGTAGGGAGAACCCTGTAAGGGTGTGATTTTTTAATGGAGCTCTCCATCATGCCTCTTATTCGTCTTAAGGGTGTGATTATGGAGCGTGAAAAGTCCCCCTATGGTGTTCTAGGGGAGTCATTAGTAGTCCTCCTGTACTTTTCAAATCTGAAAGCCTGTGTGCGTGCAAGATGTTTGTAGAAGTTTTGGGGGGAATATATAGAACAGGGATGTAAGAGGAAGGAGATTCTGGTTCTGGTTGCGAGAGAAAGCGCACGCGCGTGCCATGCGCGTGTGCGTGGTTTTGTGTCTCTTTGTGCGATGTGTCTACACTGTATGAGTTATTAAAGATTATTCCGGCTACAACAAGTTTGGATTCTTCTACTTCATCATTTCTACATGAACGCTCATTCCTGTTTACAGTTATATATCTAGTCAATGGCCGCGTGTGTGCTGTAGCTGCGGATGCGGACTTCTTCTTGCTGCCAGTGACAAAGTGTACCAGACTTGTACTACAGATGTGTACCCTAACCCTAACCCTAAACATACCGGCTCAGGGATAGAGAAGATGTCCAGTCCTATCTTATCAACTAACATCATCCTATCCAATCACCGTACTGGACATCATCTCTAATTCTCTATCCTTGAACATATAAAAATATCAACATAATACTGAACAACCTAAAACTACCTCGGGTACATATCTGTAGTACCTGATACGACAACGACCCCATCTGCAACACTAACACTAACAGTAACACTCAGTAACAGTAACACTAACACTAACACTAACACTAACAGTAACACTAACAGTGCGGGTCGGAGTTTAGAGATCTTACCTGGCACAACTCTTTGTTTCCTTTGTAGGCAGCCTGCTGTAGAGGAGTCATGCCGTGCTTGTCTAAGCAGTCTATCCTGACATCTTTCTCATTTAGAATCTCTATCACCTCGTCCACCTTGCCCGCTTGGATTAGCTCATAGAGCTTCTTTTCGTTAGCAGACAAATCGTTACATTCTGCGTCGGGCGCCATCGCTGCGTCGAATCATCGACTAAAGAATAACAAGACACGACACACATAATAGCGCCAGTACTTAGAACTGTTACCGTGTATGCATTACCGCCATCTGGCGTTAGATGCGTTCTCCTACTGCAACTGTAATTGTTAATAATGGAAATGGCACAGATATCACTCATTATCTATAATTATGAATGTTTTGTTGACGATAATTATATTTTCCCTGTGTCTCCCTCAGCTAGCTACGGCCCTGAATACATAAATGTGCATATATGTGATATCCACGATTGATGAAAAGTCATGTAAAAAAGTGTCTGTACAGTATATATCATTGAGCTGTATAATATAATAATAATTATTACATAGAGCTCAGTAATACATATGTATGGTCAATTTTATTTCTTTATATGTATGATTCCATTCAGAGAAATTGCTGGGTTGCAAATTCTATGGGTTGCAATTTCTGGTTTCATCTGTTGATGTGACCCGGAAGCCGTAAGCAAGGTCACTGCATAAAACATGTTAATTATATTCAGCCTGTGATTCGTCAATATATATCGCTTCCAGCCGCTACTAAAAATTATTTAAAATGAATTAATTGTGCTAATCAGATATTCACTGCTTAAATATTTAATTACTCGTAGACAGGTTACAAGGATAGTTCGTTTTAATAATTAATAGCACTGGCCAGATTTTCTACGTGATTCACCGCTGGGCAAGAACCGGAAGTCGTAGTTTTATGAATTGTTTGTGTCTTTGGGTTGATTTCGTCTAGAAATATTTTCATATTTGATCTGTCAGGGTAAAGTCTTTAGGCTCCGCTCATGGCAAGGGGAAAGATCAGAAGCCCGAGTGAGGTTTGCGCTGACTGTAGCGCTCCAGGTAAGAAACTGCTCCTAACGCGTCGGGACCACAGGCACTTGGAAGTTGGAGCGTTTCAATATTAAAATATAAATATAATTATAATGCTAAAAGTAAATATATTAAAATAGGCCCCCCTACGAAATCTAATTTAGATAATTTACTACCAAAGTCTTAATGTTTCTCTACTCTATTTCGCCTATTATTGCCGATAATCACCTGTAAATGCCAGTTAAATGCTGATCTGCAACACACAAGTACACCGCACGCACGCCCTGTGCACAAACAACATGAATAAGACTAAGAGAGTTCTCATTCATTACCTCCGCCACGGAGTGGAGCGGAGGTAATGTAATCGGTCTCGTGTGTTTGTGTGTGTGTGTGTGTGTGTGTGTGTGTGTGTGTGTCCAGCCCGCACGGCGCGATTGATAGCGCGTCGAGTCGGCGAGCGGGCGGCGCGATCAATAGCGCGACGAGTCAGCGAGCGGCGAGTCAGCAGCAGGCGAGTGAGTCAGCAGCAACCACCAGCGAGCGGCGAGTCAGCAGCCTCCACCAGCGAGCAGCGAGTCAGCAGCAGGCGAGTCAGCCAGCAGCAGCCAGCAGCGAGCGGCGAGCCAGCTCGTAACACATACATGTTACATGCTGGCGGAGGTATGCACTCTCCGTGAGTGCCCTCTGTTTAGTTATTTATGTTGTTTGTGCACAGGGTGTGCGTGCGGTGTACTTGTGTGTTGCAGATGAGCATTTGACCGGGATTTACAGGTGATTATCGGCAATAATAGGCGAAATAGAGTAGAGAAACATTAAGACTTTGGTAGTAAATACATTTCGTGTTTATTTACCATAATTTGTTTTATTAAGACGTTCCAAGTGCCTGTGCACACCATGAACGCACGCACACACACAACACACACATGCATAAACTCAATATTCTCCTTTCTACTATATGTTGTTCAAATTACATTTTTAAGCAGTTTTGTAAATAATTCATGTGAAGATCTCTTTTTTTTGTCGAATGGTAATGTATTCCAATGGTTTATTGCCTCCTTAGTGAGTTGTGACCATATATATTATTTGTTTTTATTTTAATGTCCTTGAATATAGCATCATTTGTCAGGTATGATAGGGGATTATTTCTGAGTGGTTTGTTAAGGTGATTGTTGTATTTGTGTATAAATATAATAAGTCTGTGGTATTTAATTAGATATTCTATTAGAGGCACTTTTAGTTGTTTTCTAATTCTTGTAGCTGCTCCTGCCTGTTTCTATGATGTTGCATTTTAATCGGAATAACTTTTCATTATGCATAGAGCATAATTTTGTAGTGTGTTTGGTCTGTCAAGATCTGATTTGAGGAGATTTATTAGCAGTGCTACTACTCACTACCCAAGTTTCCCTGACTACAGAACCTGCATGGTTAAACTTCCATATGCCTCATAATATATGCTTACTCGACACGTTAAATATTACAATTACAGCTACTTGGGATTAAGGGTGATGTAGGGCACCAAGTTATGCTCAAGGAGTCGTTGTCGTATCAGGTACTACAGATATGTACCCGAGGTACATATATGTATACACAAAGTGTACCAGACTTGTACTACATAAGTGTACCCTAACCCTAGCCCTAACCCAAACCCTAACCCTAACCCTAACCCTAACCCTAAACATACATCATATAAAAATATAAACATAATACTAAACAACCTAAAACTACCTCGGGTACATATCTTTAGTACCTGATACGACAACGACCCTATCTGCCCAAGTTATGATTACTAAAGATGAAAATGCAGTTTGAGTTCGGACTGACACTGAAATTCTGTTGACATCCATAAGCTCGATAATAATTCTTTAGGTGTAATAAACGTATTAGTACATACCTCATCTATATGATATTTATTTATATTAGTACATAAGCAATGTCTGCCCTTCAACATAACAGTGTTAACAAGTTCATTACCTAGGTGATCGTTGCCATTAGTGTTTTATTCTTACAATAACATCAGTGCAGCTGTTCAGATTATAGATCCAAAATTACAAGCTGTTTATAAGACATGTATTTGATTTGCTGTAAACTTTGGGGTGATACTCCATTAGGAATTAATGTCATTAATAGTCATAATAACATATATGTATATATATATATATATATATCAAGAGTAGATCGTTATTATCAAGAGTAGAGTGTTATTATCTACTCTTGATATATATATATATGGTCATGGTCATATATTAGTTTGTGGTTTAATGTCATTTAGGTTAGGGTTAGGGTTAGGGTTAGGATTATCAATCATTAATCATTAATCATTAATGATATCAAATTTGGGAACATTCCTAATGGAGGTTAGCCAAACTTTGGCAGACCCAATTCGGAATGTATGATGAATGAACTGTGAACTGATGAACTGATGAATGATGTTGTTTTAATGCCCTAGCAACCTTGGCTACACACACATGAAGCATGCATGAGGTTTTCAGTATACATGCATATATATATATATATACAGCCACTCACTTACTGAAAACACATGCTTATACTGTTTGCCTTCTCCAGCCCTCCCCCTGTGCACACATTTGTGTGTAAACATGATTGATGACACAGGTTTGGCTGTTTCGTTTTGGGGTAAAGTGACCATGGTGCTCTCTACTCTCTATATTCTCATGAACTGAATATTTAAAATGTGGAGAAATCGGTGCTGTATGGGGCAGCAGTTGCAAGATGTCTCTTTTTGTACCAATTGCTGCTGAAATGTATGAATCTTGTAGTGGCATAACAGCTGTACTAACTAAAGCTGTAACGGATCTTGGGTTTAGGCATCACCATCTGGAGATACAGTCGAAGGGGTGGGGTTGTAACTTGTAGTGTATATATATATCACCCGAGAGTTAGGATTTTATAGTGGCCGATTGTGGATAAGTATGCGCAGGAAACACTGAGGCAAATTTTTCATCACTAACTTCTTGTATTTAAAATCTAAATAGTGCAAAGTACAGCATATTGTTTGACTGTATGTTGTACCTATAGATTCGGCCATAGGGTATGTAAACCCAATGTTGTAGAGTTGGCCAGTGGTCACCCCATCCTTCCCCGTACCTTACTTTAGCCAGACCGGAGCAAACAGCAACACAGTGTGGTGCTTTTTTATGTGTGCAAAACGTTCCAGGGTGGAGAATATCGTTTGACATTCATGTTAATTAATGAAGATTCTGTGCTGCTGGGTGTATTTTTAACTTTCACATCTGCTAACCCAGCTAATGGCGTCGTCATGGTTACAATATTATTTTCCAACCGACGGAGTGGAGTTAACGACATCACCTGGGTTACATCCGTCCCACATCCGTGACCCAAACTAACAGTATCGCCACAGCTACCTTCAGCATCTTTCTTCCAGAACCCATGAACTAAAATAATGGCGTAATTATGGTTATTATGTCGTCTTCTTGACCTCCAAACCTGAACTAGTAGTGTCACCATGGTTGTGTGTCCTTTCCAACTCCATGAGTGTAACTGGCAGTGTTGCCATGGTTACCTCTTTCTCAGCCTCATGAGTGTACCTAACAGTGTCACCAGGTTTACTTCCGCGTCCCAACCCCGCAAATGTGACTGAAACGTATCCGTGTCGTCAGGGTGCTAATATCCTCCCTGACCCCTGCGCATCACACTAACGCTGAGAGGGTCTATGTCCCCCGGGGTACGGTCCGGTATACCGGAACGTACCCTGGTACTATCTAATATGCCAGACCGTGCCTCGCCTACTCCACTAATGAGTCTAGGGAGTCGCCTACGCCTATTCCCTCACCCGAACCCGAACCCTAACCCTAATCCTAACCCTAACCCTAACCCTAATCCTAACCCTAACTATATCAAATAGTGACCAGGGTACGTTCCGGTATACCGGACCGTACCCAGGGTACGTTCTGGCAGTACCCTGGGGGACATAGACCCTATGAGCCACACTAACAGGCATCTCTGTTGTTGCGTTAGATCTCACATGGGCGTCGGTGAACCGGGGCGTGCTGATATGCGACGAGTGCTGCAGCATCCACCGCAGCCTCGGCCGGCACATCACGCAGGTGAAGAGTCTCAAGAAGGGCTCGTGGTGCCCCGCCATGCTCGCGGTGAGTATCCACGGCAACGCGAATGCAGACGCGCGGAAAATGTAAATTCGTGTATTAAAGTTGTTAGTAAAGTTGAACTAGGGGTTTGGGTTGTCACTAGTTACATGCTGTGGTAACTTACTCGTGTAGTATCAAGAGCTAATAATACCTAGAGTTGAATAACCGGGATGCGAGGCGGCGTGAGGCATGTGGGAGGGGAGGTTTAGGAGCCAATATCTCAGCCTAGGAGTATCGTATTGACAAGCGGTTGGTCTTGTTTTAGAGAGCAAAGAATTCTGCTTAATGCAATACCATAAAATTATTCTAGACTCGCAGGCAAAGTAGAATAATGTTGTCGTGAAATAGCACTATTTTCCCGTTTTTCCGTTGTACACTTGGCTGGAAAGTGGTTTTGCGCAACCTCAGATCGTGCGCTTTGAGTGGCGCCACTGGCGTTGCAATCAAACTGTAGTCATTAGTTTTAAAACATAAAAAAATGGTGATTGAATCATGAAACATTTTATGTAGCGTAATTATAACGTAAATTAGCTGAAAATAACCCTAGAACCTAG